GAACATATATTAAGCTCCACAAAAAGTAATTTGTGTCAAAGATTTTGTTATGCAGCATCGTGCAACAGAGAGCACAAGGTTCTTAATGCTACCGGGTTATTAAGAGGTGCAAATATCTAGATATACTAAATACCAACTTGATTCTGTTTTTGATATTTTGCAAACATGCGCAGTTTCATTAGATTATTGCTCTAGATGATTCTAGTCAGTGGTAAAATCATATTGTGAGGAAAGTTTTCTTGTCAACATCAACATGGTTTCTCATTTTTAGGGTGTGCCTCGTGCATGCAATGTGTATGTAATTTTATATTGGTTGATATGTGCTTGTTGAGGGTTTCCTTGTTGCATTACTTGACTCCAGGGTGCAATGATCTCAAGTTCATGATTCTGTTTTTATCCCCTACAGTGTGTCTGCGCTTCTCATGATGGTTACGTTGAAGAAACTTGCAAGCACTGGGTGTACCCTTATATTTACTATTTATCAGAGCAGCACTGAAGTATTTGGCCTCTTTGACCGGATATGCCTGCTTTCAAATGGAAATACTCTATTTTTTGGAGAAACATTGGCCTGCTTACAGGTAAGCTACATATTAGATTTTTAATTCCCTTTTCTATGTGGTTTATCAGGAAGATAAAGTGAGCTTTTTGCCTTAAGGTGTGCGAAGAGAAAATTCCTTGAATAAATCTTGATAATTCTATGTTAGGATAGAAGTTGAGATCTTGTGATGTTGGACTGTAAAATTTCAAAATCTGTTTATTGCCTTGTTTACTTTGCTAAATTAATCTCTCTTTTCTTATTGAAGCACTTCTCCAATGCTGGATTTCCATGCCCGATAATGCAAAGTCCTTCCGATCACTTCCTACGTGCAATAAACACAGACTTCGACAGGATAATTGCGATGTGCAAAAACTGGCAGGTACTTGTTTTTGTTCTTGCTGTTGAATGACGAGTCTTCATCTGCTTTTAGTGATTGATGGGAGTGGAATGATTCTGTGTCCAGTGGAGATTAGGCCTTTATGATTTGGAATGATATCTGTTTGAGAAGATGAGCATTGCCTTGCTGTGTTTTCTGTCCTTATTCCATTAATCCAGCAGTTGTATTCTATTTTTGCGTGAGAGAAACTGAAATTTTGGCACGCAGTCATTTTCAGCCTCTGTTTGAACGTTATGTGCGTGGTTGGCAGGATGACCATGGCGATCTCTCTTCAGTAAATATGGATACTGCTGTGGCAATACGCACCCTTGAAGCAACTTACAAAACATCAGCCGATGCTACTGCAGTTGAGACAATGATATTAAGACTCACCGAGAAGGTACACATACATGTCTTCTGTTTGTCGCATCGTTTCTTAATTTTTTGATGGTAGTTGGTACAGTTTTTAGCAAGCTTGGTTTGTAGTTACTCCATAGTGAAGTGAATCAATTCTTTGCACGAGTAATGTCAACGCATGATATCTGAAGAAAGCTACACATCAAATGGCAATGCTTAGCTTCTTTTTTTGGCCAAAAGGTGTGTGTTTGACTTCACTCATAAACTTAACTGGACAACCATCAATCCGTGATCAACAAAACAATCTTTTTGATTTTCTCTCCACATACGGTAAATGATTGAAGTGTTTCTTTGTAAGTTGTACACTATATCAGGCTGGTTGTGGAATGCTTTATCTTCGTCCCCTAATGCATTGTCAGCAATAGTAATTTTCTTCAGTAACAAAAGCTCATGGTACTGGCAGCCTTAGGTTGCTTTTTCTTTTTCTTTTAGCAATAGCAAAAGGAGAGAACTGTTTGCTCTACTTTGTCTTATCATGCTGTGCTGCTTATTTTAGTGGCGTTGCAATCTTCCTAGTATGATAGACTTGAGCACTTGTGGTTTCATGCTCATCGTTTAAGAGCTGGCGTGCATGCTTTCTGGTGATTTTTGTTGATTTTTTTCTTGTCAGAATCTTCTTGTCTGCTTAACTAAGTAAGTTTTTGCAGGAAGGTCCAACTCTAAAAAGCAAGGGAAAAGCTAGCTGTGGTACCCGAATTGCTGTTCTGACATGGAGATCATTACTTATCATGTCAAGGGAGTGGAAATATTATTGGCTCCGCTTGATTCTTTGCATGCTTCTCACACTCTGTGTTGGCACAGTTTTTTCTGGCTTAGGACATTCGTTGTCTTCTGTGGGGGTGAGTTCCCTGAAATTGTGGATTTATGTTATCTGGTTGCATTTCAATGTCCTTTGGAAATTGATCAGATTTCTCATCTCACAAGGAACCTTTTTGCTTTGTGGGCTATGCTTGTGTTATTCTCTTGGCCCACTGCCATTTATTGCTCTCTGAATGTTTAAGATTTGGAGTCTACTTTCGTGCTTCCCTTCAAATGACATGCTTGTTTTCTACTAATTTCTTTTGTTTTTTTGGCTAATCTCTCATTCTGCAGACTAGGGTTGCAGCAATATTTGCGTTCGTATCATTTGCTTCCCTCCTTAGCATTGCCGGAGTACCGGCACATATTAAAGAAATCAAGGTAATACTAACTTCAATGTCCATAAGCTTCATCTGGCTTATCTGGAAAATCCACCTTGATATGATATATTGAGGAACCAGAATACATCAACTTGCCTGACCATATCATACACTGTTAATTTTTGAGAACAGGATGATATAGTTCATCTCTATGATAATGCGTATTTACCTGCCTAGTTGACTTCTGTTCCTGTAAGGGTTGTTGCAGGTTCCCCTTGCCTTTTCTCTGTCTTTCAGGCATGTGATTTTTTCCCCCTTTATTATAGCTGTTGAGCTCATGGCATGTTATTAGCATGTGTGAAAATTTACAGCTGATTCGGGAGATTTGTATGGGATGAATGTCTTGTCAGTGAAGGCTGCATGGTGTTAGGACATGATTCACTGATTTCTCGTATTACCTATTGGAACAATTGTACTTTTATGATGTCATTCACCTTTATCTCGATTTCTTTTATCTCAATAATGACCCCTCGATCACATGGCATAATCAGATTTTAGGGCATAATATAAAGGATCTATTCTTGCCATGATAGTGTTTCGGTGGGATGAATGCTGAAAGCTGTATGATGAAATCCAATCGGTAGTATCGGGCCCCTTGGCTATTTTTCTAAAGAGAAGATGAATCTCTATGATTGTGAAAAAAAGTACCCTATTGGAAGTTGGTTAATTTTTTCAAAAAATCAGTTTGTCCATGTTTATTTAATTATTCAGAAAACTGCCTTTCGTATCTAAGTAACAATTAATTACTTTTTAAATTATTTTAATGATCTGACAACTATATAAATTCCTTGATGTGCCATCACAATAGGAGACCTCATCATGTGATATTGTGATTTCAACCACACTTCATTTCAGAAATAATTTAATCAGCAGGTCACATATTTAATTGAGAGATATAAATGGTCTCTTTGTATGCTAAAAAGAAGCCACCCTTGATAGGGACACTATTAAGGTTTATGGGTTGGTAAGATTCTCAAGTGGTGCTAATTGGCAAAGATTAGATACTCGATGGTCCAACTATTTGAATCAGTGTTGCTCTTTTGGCAAGAAATTTACAGATTGACTTGTCCATCTGCTTTAATTTGGCATCCTCAAACACTGTTGCTTTCTTCTGTGCAGATATTTGCCAGTGAAAAATCGAATCAACATTCTGGAGCGCTGGTGTTCTTGTTTGGGCAACTTCTTTCCAGCATTCCTTTCCTGTTTCTGATCTCCATCTCGTCAAGCCTCGTCTTCTATTTCCTTATTGGTCTACAAGATGAGTTCAGCTTATTGATGTACTTTGTGCTGAATTTCTTCACGTGCCTCCTTGTGAATGAGGGGCTAATGCTGGTAGTAGCTTCTGTATGGCAAGATATTTTCTGGAGCATCTTGACATTAGTATCCATACACGTGAGTTGGTTCTATCAAACTTCTGTCTTGATCTTTCCTGTGATTAATTCGACATAAATTGATGGGAAAAGGCATGGCTTTTCTCCTCTCCTTTTGGTATACTGCTCAATGTCCTGAAGGTATGCCTTATCATGGTGGATGAGACAAAGAAAGATGTTTTTTTTTTGGTAAGGTGACAAAGAAAGATGTTGAATTGGTCACCAAATTCATAAATTGCTGTTATGCTCGTGGAGCATTCTATTATTTTGTACTGTGCTCAAGTTTCTAGGCCGGAATAATGACTTACGTCTCTTTCTTGTCAGGTGGCAATGATGCTTTCTGCTGGCTACTTCAGAATCCGAGATGCTTTGCCTGGACCGTTATGGACTTATCCAATATCCTACATTGCCTTTCATACCTACTCTATACAGGTAGAAGCAAAGATGAAACTGCTTAACAATAGTTTTAAAGTTCCATTTTGCGCAAGTGACCAACCTTAGCACTCTTCCTCTCCACTTGATACCATGGAAACACTTCTATCTGCACAAAATTTTCCTGCTTGATGTTCAGCGAAAGAAGGAGAAAAAAACAATTTCCGCTTGATGCTTTCTTGGATATTTGGTTCACATTGTTCTGGCTAGGGAAACGCTTCATATATGTAACATGTTGGCTCTGGATCGAATCAAATTGAGTTTGTGGGCATATTTGACGCCGTTCTTGCTAAGTAATTCATGTTATTTTATTGGATAGGGTCTCCTGGAAAACGAGTACCTAGGGACTTCTTTTGCTGTGGGGCAGGTGAGGACGATTTCTGGTTACGAGGCTCTCCAGAACACGTATGACATATCTCGTGACAGTAATTCCAAGTGGGAGAATCTTCTAGTGCTGTTTGTCATGGCAGTTTTTTATCGAATTTTATCGTTTTTTCTGTTGCAATTTTGCATAGGAACGGGCACATCGGTGCGTAAAATTTTCCAGTGTAAACGGGACACGAGCAACACGAGATGAACTGTACAATAAAATTTTTGTCTGCTATTGTTTCTGCTCTGGTTTCTTCATGATATCTCGCTTTTTGAAGCTCGCCGACTCATTAATTTGGCAAGACCCTGTCAGGCTCATATTGTTCGAAAGGTATTTTATTCTCCACTTATCACTTTTGCACTAATGGTACATTTTGAGCATTACAAATGTATGTCTGGACGGAGAAGGGCCAGTGACAACATGATCGATCTAAGCACCATCGGAAAGATGCTCCTTTTGATGAATCCTATCCTTTATGTCTGCGAGAAACTGATCGAAATCTTTGGTCGATGAACCATCAGCCATCAATGCTTCCTCCAGCTTCTTCTTCACTGCCCCGACCGCATTCTTGAATTCGCTTCCTGATTCTTTGCTCATAAGCCGGACGATTTTCTTGGCGACTTCCTCTCGAGTGGTCTTGTTCCGATTGCTCAAATTCAATCCGATTCTCCAATCGTCAACCACCAGCTTCCTATTAGTGAACTGATCAGTCAACAGAGGGAAGCACAACAATGGCACACCAGACCAAATGCTTTCCAATATTGAGTTCCACCCACAATGGGTCAAGAACCCGCCTATTGCCGGGTGGCTCAACACTGCATTTTGACGGCACCAAGGTATTATGATTGCCCGGTCACCGAGTTGCTCTTTGAATCCATCGGGCAGCGGATCGATGTTGTTGGAGCTCACAATGTCGGCCCGGAGCACCCAAACGAAGTCGACCTCGCTGAGCGAGAGTCCATGGGCTATCTCCACTAGGTCCGCCCTCGACAGATGGGCATAGCTCCCGAACGACACGTAGAGGACCGAGCCCGGGGGCTTGGTGTCGAGCCACTGGGTGCAGTCCGACTCGGGCCACAGGCTCGTGGCCACGTCGCTCGTGGTGAAGCCCTCCGGGAACACAGGCCCAATAGAGTAGAAGGGCTTCCGGGCCTGAAGGGCTGACACGGTGCTGGGCTCGAGCTCGCGGACGGTGTTGCAGAGGATGAAATCCGCCGCTTTGACGTCCCGGAAGGCGTTGAAGATGATCTGGTGACAGACGGATGACGGGTGGCTCTCCTGGAGATACGACGTCATGTCCTTCGGCTCTAGGGACTCCACTCCTGGTATGTAATCTATTGGATCCTCACGACAATCTGATCAGGTAAAAAGCTGTTAAATTCAATTACGCTCGCACGCCATCAGAAAAAGAAATGCTGATAGATTTCGGACTTCATGTTTATGTATAATGCTTAAATTACTTTTGACCTTGCAACATGCACATGCACGTTAGAGAGAAATTATAGCAACGATCATAGCCATGCAAAGAGAGAATGTAGAATAACCCTGGCAAGCAAAGTGGCCATTGATCCGAAGGAGATCCAAGTGATAATACAACGTGAACACCAGTGCGGGCTCCGTCCAGAACGAGACGTATAACAGCCCGAACTTCTTTGCCACTTTTGATGGCCACACGAAGAACGTGTCCGCGATCAGGCAGTTGACCCTCTTGCCGGGCATCGCGACGATGTTCCCCACGACCTCCTCCACGTGCGCCGAGAACACGTGCAGGAGCGACGCCATGAACTGGTCGTGGTTCAGCGACCGGTCGAACCGCACTGGCAAGCCGTCCGACATGGTCGTGTACCGTATGTCGAGCCCCGCTCCACGCACGTTGGCGAAAATGTCGTAGGAGCCGTCGCTCTCGCCATCGCCATCATGTTCCTGACCAAGGGCTTTGAGGGTCTGGTGGTGGATGGATTGGGTGTTGATGAAGGTGACGGCGAAGCCCCTCGAAGCAAGCTTGATCGCCAGGTGCACGGACGGGTTGACGTGGCCCTGGAGAGGGTAAGGAATGATGATGGCGTGAGGTTTCCTATCGTTGTCTGCCATGCCGTTCCCCCAAAACAAAGAGAACTAGAGCAAGTGTATGAGTTTTGCGTGAGCGCTTGAGAACGTTTTTAAGGATGTTTGAGGTTTGTTTGAGGATGATTGAGGTTTTCTATAGCCGAAGGATTCGGCTGATTTGTGGCTCGCTCACTTGTTTCCTTTGAGAACAGAAAATCTGCGGGCATTCGCTCGTGACTCCCGGCACGCCATACGATTTCCCAATGAGGGTTTTGCCCGAGAATTTCATGCACGGTTTGACATTCCAAGCTTTCTCATCGGAAGAGAGATGTCCTGAGTGATTTATAATTGAACACCCAGTTGTTATCATTTTGTGTGGGTATTTAATTACTCCTTTTGACCGATCAAAAAAAAAAAAAAACTCCTTTTGAGAACTTGGTCCATGTAGAACGGATCGGGTGGTTACAGATGGTATCAGAGCAAGACCCCTCCAGTAGGTGTCTGGTTTGTGGATAAACTAGGCCCATACTCGATCCGGCGAGGGGGGACTGATTGCCGGGGCAGGAAGGTTTAGACAAGATCCGGCGCTAGGTAGAATTCTAGGATGACGGAGGGGTGAGAATGGCCTGTTTCAGATATGGATAGGAGAAATATCGCTAGTTGATATGGGCCAACATGACTAGGACATCATCTCTTTAAGAGAGGGAGTTTGTGACATATAGAGATTTACATGGGATAAGAGAGGTCCTGTTGAGTAATCGATGAGTAAGCATCCACCCTTGAATGGTCATCATCTTATGTATTACTCAGAGTATTTCTTTTGTGAGTTTGGTTCACGTGGAATGCACCGTCGTGATTGTTCGTGACCTATTATATGTTTGTGGAAGTTGATGTAAGTTAGTGTACTTGTGAATGTATTAAGATATTTTCAGACAAAAAAAATGTATTAAGATATTTAGTCAACTTTATATATATAAAGTGATTTGAGCAATTTATCACGTAATTGTTGTATATTTCAATAAGTTTTAAAATATGGTTAATACCATGAAAAACCCTAAATTTGTACACCTACGATAAATTTATCCTAAATTAATTTTTTGACCACCAAAAATCCGAAACTGATACACCTGTGACAAATTTCCCCTAAACTAATTTATTGACCACCAAAAACCCTAAACTGGTACATTTGCAACAAATTTAGCTTCCGTTAAATTGAATTAATATTATGAAAAATCACAAATCGGTACATTTGTGACGGTAGAATCCCAAACCGGTACATCTGTCAATTGCCACGTGTCATCCAACTCAGAAATTTGACAGTAAAATTTAATGAAAACTAACGGAGGGTAAAATTGTCACATGTGTACCAGTTTGGGGTTTTTGATGGTCAAAAAATTAGTTTGGGATAAATTTATCACAGGAGTACCAGTTTGGAGTTTTTTGTGGTATTAACCTTAATGAATTATATGGGTCTCATGTGAGATCCACATGGACAAAGAGATTCCAATAGATTGTATTCACAAAAAGCAAGAATTAAAAGGTGACTTTCGATAATTTAGAAGTTGTAGCATGGATGAAAATTGTCAATGATAAACATAAATGTGATGCAAGTGAAAGCTCGAAAATTCGATATGAACAAATTATATATCCATCGGAATGAAAAAAATACATGCACGTTGTCCTATGGCTTGTCAAGTTGTTATTGCAATTGAAACTATGGATTTGCATACATCACATGACAAACTGACAATAGAATTACTAGTCGGAAATTTTAAGTGGTTGTAATTCAAAAGCGCGACGCATGTCATTCACTAAATAACAATTGTCTACATAACACGGATTCACACAAACAAACATGGAGTCTGTCTATACTTCATTCTCATTTACAAACTTTATCACAAGTGGAAAAAGGTTCCTATATTTGCGGGGAAATCGTCCAATCGGTCTTAAACCTATTATTCGAGATGTCAATTCAGTCCTAAATATTTTAATTTTGTTAATTTAGTTCTAAACATTTACGTGAAATTCCAATTTAATCCTTTCGACCAACTTTTGCCGGAAATCGCCGACGTGACGTAAGGACGGCTGGCTGGCGATGAATGGACCTCCATGCCAGCAATTTCCGGTGAAAATTGACCGGAAGAAAGGCTCATGGCTAAATTAAAAAGTTTAGAGTTGAATTTGTATTCACATAAGAAGTTTAAAATTGATGGGGCAATTTTTCCAATGCATTACGCGTATAACCCAATTTTTGGGGTCAATGTGGTCCATATCCCCACTCCGCACTCAACGAAGAATACGAAATGAAGAGAATATCCACGGCACCTACTGTTTGGAAAAAAGAGCGGTAGATTGTTTGGTACATTCAACCCGCCCTAAATAATCTGTGGACCTAAGTTTTTCGCAAAGGAATATTACTTCCTCTATCTTCCCTCTTTTTTGTTTTATCTCGTCGAATACACATATCTATCGTTTCCGTATTTGTCCAAATTGATGTCATTTTCATAGTGTAATTTCATTATTTTATCCCGCCCCCCCCATTTTCTTTTGTTTCGTCTGTCTCTATCGACCTCGAAAATCATATTCACAATATCAGGTTTCGAGCTCACGTTACACACGTGGGTACGATTACAACGGGGGGTTTCCGCGGTGTTCCTACCCGTGAAGCCGGTTCATGGGATTGTCCTTATGTTGACCATGCGAAAAAACCACTGAAAGCGACCTAGATGAGCAATAAACACCGCGACATAGGATTAGACATAGCCACGGTTCGGAACCGGCTGTTCCGGTTCGTGGCCATGTATGAACCGGCGGTTCCGGGCCGGTTCTGGTTCCGGCCCGGTTTGGAACCGGCTAGTAAAAATTAAAAAAATAAATTATGAAATAAAAAAATTATGAATTATCAAATTATGAAATAATGAATTATTCAATATAAAATGTAATCAAAATGTACATTATAATCAAATTTAGGGAAAAAAAGAGTTTCTCCACTTATCTGCAGTTTTTTTTTTTGAACCGGACAAGGAACCGGCGGTTCCGGGCCGGTTCCAAAATTGTTGGAACGGGAACCGGGCCCGTAGGCCATGGGCCGGTTCCGGTTCCGAACTGCGGGCCCGGTCAACGAGCCGGTCTCGGGTTTGATCCGGGCCGGTTCCGGGCCGGAACCGGCCCGTGGCCATGTCTAGGATGACTCGCTCTTCGTAATCTGTCGAATATTTGACAATTCAAAGGTTTGGTTTCTTCCCGCGGTCGTTGGGGCTCGCTCGCTGACGGAGGTGGGGCCAAAACAACCGCGTGGCCGTGCCAGCGTATAGAGATCCGCCACGTGGAATTTCCGCGTAAGACCTCTGCCACGTGGCGACCTCCTTCTTCAACAACCAAGAACACGCCGCGGTGACAAAACGAGGAGGTGGAGAAGAGAAATCCCTCAAGTTTTTTCTCGCCGTCTTCCTCTGGTTCTTCTCCTCCCCATGGAGGATTCTCCGAGCCTCTTCGACCGTTAGGCGCCACCGACACCGCCGCCGCCGCCGCCGCCGCCGCCGCCGCGCGAGCTGAGAGCTCGGGGGGACGGCAACAGATGGCGCCGATCGCCGCGGTCTCGTCGCTGATGAACGGCGAGCGAGCGGTGGTCCTGCTCTTCGTGCTGCGCGTCGTCACCTCCCTCCCTCTCCGCCTCCTCCCTCACGGCCTCGCCCTCTGCCTCCTCGCCGCCGCCGCCTCCTACGTCGAGATTCGCCTCGAGAACTCGTCTTCCCTCCCCCAATTCAAGACCAGGTTAAAATTCCCGCGGCTCTCTCAAATCCTTCTGATTTTCCCCTGTTCTTTTTAATTAAAAAATGAAATTTTGTGGGCTCGGATATGATGATTTAGCTGTTCTCGCACTTCAATTGTGCTCTGCGCGGTTTCTTGAGGTTTAAGTTGATCGAATTTCAGTTGAAAATTTCCTTTGAGTCTGGAGCATCTGAACTTACATTTACTACAGCCGTTATCGTTTTGTCAGTCTGTTGAACCTTAGGCTACTGAAATTGTCAGGCAGTCGGCTTGCGCTTGAATTGTGTTTATCATTTGCGGAGACTTTACAATTTAAGGGTGATTAAGTCCTGTTATAAGATGCTTTAGTTGTGTTAAGCGCCATTTCCGAAATCAATTGATTCGAAATTGAGTCGAAATCTTCAAGTAGGAGCACCCGAGGCAGCACCAGATATAAGCTTATAATGGAAGTTCTGCTTCACTTTTGTTTTGACAACTGAGTTATTGTAAGTAGTCAGGATGCAATTGACGAATGGTTGGGCTGTGTGTTTCATTTCAGGCCCGGTGCCTCATCTGGAATACTCTTGGGGGCAGTTACTCTTCCTACTGTCTTGATCTCAAAGTTGATACAGCTATCTAGGGCAGTCTCACTCCACCAAGTTAGCTATGAAGGTATAAGCATTATGTCACCATAGCTTCTCTTTGCATTACGAGACACGTCACACATTCCTTTTGTTATTAGCTGTGCTCTGGCACAATAGCTGATTCATCCTTATCCTCAATGACTGCTGAGAAGTGACAAGTAATCATTAACTCTTCCATTTTGTTGCAGATTTTGAATATTTGAAAATGCTATACTGGGCTGCATCAGTCAGCTCCTTTGGTGTGCTTGTTTTCCTTTATTCAGCTCTGCAGCATTCACCCGACAAGGCCTATCCCACTTCCTCGAATATCCAGTCTAATTCAAAGCTCATGTCATGTTGCATTGGCCTCTATGCTGCATTGTGTTGTGTCTCCCTTGCCATTATGTCTAACTTCGGTAAGTATGTCATCAAAGATCTCCATCAACCTCTTGCTCTTAGCTGTTGTTGAATTTTCAGAAGATCAATTTACGGGTACTATTTATCTTGCGCATACTTGTGTGGCTTTTAACATAAGCACTGAACAATCATATTCATAGTACTGCCTGAGTTGGCGTGTTTGTATGACTTAGGTTTAAATATGGCATCTTTTTGCTGATCAGCTACAGATGCCTAACGTTTTGATGCTTTCATGGTTCCTTTGCAGGTTTGCAACTTGCGTTCAACTTAGTTTGGGTGGTCTGTCATGGATTCGCAGTGGTGAAACTAATTCAGCATCTTCTGAATACTTTTCCATCCTGTGCTTCTGTTGGTATGCATTTTGTCCAGGCCTCTGGCAATCACCCTTGACCAGTGAAGTTTACATTTCTGTCTCTTAGTCGGCCCTAGCTTTGAAGACAATTGAGGGTAGAATGTTAGAGCAGTAGAGTTTAGTGGCTCAGTCATGGGCAGAGACCAACCCTGTGGATGCATCAATATGGGGAATGGCTGGGGTAGAGTAGAGATGTCCTAAGATTCTAATGGTTTTGGTGAAATATTTGTTTCTCTTCTTGAAATTTTTAGTTCTGTTATG